ACCCTAAACCCTAAACACAGAAGCCTTTGACCGATGGCTTGCTGCCGGCGGACGCACGGAGGCAAAAAAAAGGAGCGAAGCGCGGGTTCAGGGCGCAAAAAGATGCCCTGAACCCGAACATGATCATGGTGCGACCCCCGTTCTGACCATTTTTGAGAGCAGCCCTAAAGTAAACCGCAAAATGCCTCAACCCCAAAACCCCTAAACCCNNCCCTAAACCCTAAACGGCCCTAAAGTAAACCCTAAACCCCTGCGCCCTAGACCCCTAAAGGCAACCCTGAACCCTGAACCCCAAACGGCCCTTAACAACCCCTAAACCCGGGCTTTTCTTAAAACTGGCTTAGGGTTTAGGGTTCAGGGTTCAGGGTTCAGGTTGAGGGCTTGGGGCTCAGGGTGGGGCAAACTCATTGCCTGGCCTTGGCTCTGAGGACTTTAGATATCGGAGCATCAAAGTCTATCTGAATGGCAATATGTAGACTCACAGAATAAGTTTTAGGAGGGGTTCACAAGCCAGCCAAGATTACTTAGTAGTAGAGTAGGTACCTGGTTTCGGGTAGTAGTAAAGTCGGTAACCGTTAACCTGTGTGGTGAAGTTAGCGCATGCCTTAGAGGTCCTTCTCTACATAGACTCTACGTGTAGTAGAACCTACCGGCAAAGCCCGATTCTACAAATTTCAGGGCTCCATGTTTGATTATTTACCCTAAAGTCACCCTGAATTGTAAATTCCAAACCCCAGCAGCCCTCCCCCCCTACTTAAAATGACACAGAGTTTAGGGTTTGGAGTTTAAGGTTGAGGGTTAGGGTTGCTCTTTGTCACACTTGTCTGATGTAAGACTCTGACGCAGCATTAGGGTGGGAGGAACCTTTGTATTTGCAAGCACTAAACCCTGAACCCTAAACATAAGCCTACCTAAGCCTACCGGCCTACAGCAAACCCGGGTCCCTTTCCCCAGCTCGAAGCAATCTCTGGAGTACCACACTTGATTACTTTGTTTTGGACCTGCTCCTTAAAGGAACCATCATGAAATAACAGTCTACACAACCCTAAGCCCTAAGTCCCAAACCCTTGAAGCCCAGATCTCAACCTGAAAGCACCCTGGCAAGGCAGTCCTGCCTGTTACCATCGAGTTTGCCACAGCGAACTCAGGCTGCCACAAAATCACTTCTAAACCGCGGAAACCACACTCCATGAGTGTATACTTAGTAGCTGAATTACTACACCTTAAACTTTTTGGGATACTATGACCCTTCATAGAACTGAAAGTGTACACTTTTTTATGCTTGTGAACTCAACAACTAAGTTTTACAGGGTACTTCTATTCTTATGTGTGTGTGTGTGTATATATATATACACATATAATTTATGTTATTCATGATCTAGAGTATTGTCTGTAAGGGTACGAAAGGGGCTGAGGGTCCGGACGTTGGGGTTTTTGGAGACTTTTAAAGTTTCTGGCGGGGTTGAAATTCTGGGGAGGTCTGGGGGGTTTTACCTACTTAACCTGCCAAAACTTACTCTTTCGTAGGGGGCTTTCAGAGCTGTTGCTATACTTCAGTGTTGTGGGTTAGTTTAAAGATATTATAGTATATAGTAGTTTACATTATAGTTCCTCTTTTGGCATCCTAAATGTAAAACTGGTGAATCGAAGAAAGGAATTACAATGGAGACTATAGGTAGTATTGGCAACTGTCTCGAAGTCTAAAACCCTGAACCCTAAACCGTAAACCCTAAACCCTAAACCCCTAAACCCCTAAACCCTAAACCCTAAAATCCTACACCCTTAAACCCTCAACTAAACCCTACTCCGGAAACCCCGGAGCTAGTGTTTTAGGGTTTAGGGTGTCAGGGTTTCCCTTGGGGTTCCCGGTGACCTACTGCGTTTCAGAGTTTAGGACTCTAGCCGACAATTCAGGGCTCGCGAGCTACCATTTTGTAGGTTTGGAGGCTACAGTGGCTACAGGTAAAGTAAACCCCAGACACTGAAAGCCCAGCCTAGAACACCGCGATTGGGAGGGGGCGGGGGGAAGGGGTTTTAGGGTTTATACTGTGGCCTGTGGCTGCCAAGTCCGACAAACCCTGCCAGGGACGTACACTCAGAGGTTTGCGTGCTTGCCCGCTTGCTATTAGAACGGGGAGCGATTTCACCATAGAGGTTTGGGTTACGGGGCTTTGAGTTGAGGATTCAGTCGTGCAGGGGTGTAATTGTGCAGTTATGGTCAAGTGAGGGATTCGCGCACCCCCTGCGCAGGTGGCGAAAAGATGTACCGTGGACGTTCTGAAGCATTCGCTGTCCGCAAGAGCCTCAAGTGACGTTTTGTCTCTGTTCAGTCGTGTCATTGGAAGCCTCAAGCCCTCAAGGCTTGTTCTAACTTGGTTCGAGCCCCGAGAATGGAGCGCGACATCCCAAGTAAATGCATCAACGCTCAGCCCAGCCAATGCGATAAGCATACGCGGCAGGCAGCGAGGTTTTCTCTCGACAAGTCCTGCTGCCTCAGCTGCACATGCTTGTACCCTAAACTGGGTCCTTGTTGGATACAATTTTACATTTTTGTTATAATAAAACCCCAATAAGGATTCAAAATGATCATTTTTAATATATCCCCAACAAGGACCCAGTAAACCCTAAACCCTAAGCCCTAAACCCAAGCTTCAACCGACCAAAGATCTTCGCGAAGCTTTGGCTCAAGTGATCCGCCTAATGTCAAGACCACGAGAATCCTCGGTCTTCATGCCTTCCAAAAGCCCGAAGAGCCGGAAAAGTTTCAGCTTTTGTCTTCCTGACTTATTGGGGGAAAGTAAGCATAACAAACCCGCTTAAACCCCAAACACCCTAAACCCGAAGCCCTGAACCCTAAACCCTAAACCCTGCTGGCAAAAAGGTCCGGTTAAAAAAAAAACTAAACCCTCGCAACAGTCCCACCTCCCCCCCTTGAACCCCCCCTCCCTTAAGGACCTTCTAATCAACCCTAAAACAAAAAAAACATGCTTACCTGAAATGCCAAGTAGCCCAAAATAACAGACTACCATACCCTAAAGTAGCCCCTAAATGGCTCAAAGTAGCCCCTAAATACAGACTACTGGCTTTCCAGGTAGATACTAAACGTAGGAAGCTGATTCGGCAACTCGAGTCCTAGAAGCACCAAGATGGGTAGGTCTCCAAACTAGGGTCCCTCTTTTTGGGGGTTCCTTAAAGGGCCATTAAAGGGCTTCTATAGGGTTTCTATAAGGGTGCTAAAAGGGTAGTTCTCTTAGTTTAGGGTCCGTTTTTGGGGGGTCCCTTTCTTTTTTAAAGGGTGCCGTACCATATTGGGGACCGAAAAGGGAACCCTAGTTCAGAGAACTCCTAAACCCCAAACCCTAAACCACCCTAAACCCTAAACCCTAAACCACCAAAAATAGTGAGGAGATGGTAGGATGCAGATCAAGAGCCCTAACCAACGAGGATCCCGGCGAGTCGTAATCAGGTTCCTACAGAGACCCTCGATAAATCCTAAACCCTAAGGTTTAGGGTTTAGGGTACCCCTAAACCCCAAAACCCCTGAACCCCTAAACCCTGAACTCTGAACCCTAAAGCCCTCAACCCCAGAAGCCCTAAACCCCTAAACTCCTCTAATCCCCTCAAACCCTAAACCCCTCAACCCCTAAACTCCTAAACCCCTAATCCCCTAAACCCCTCAACCCCTCAAACCCCAAACTCAGACCCGAAATTGTTGTCGAACCCTTCGGCTGGGTGGGCCCAGAGCTGCTGCTTTCTGCCAGGCAGGGGATTTAGCTTAGTTCCCCAATACCCAACCTTTAAGCTTTTTGGGTTCTTATAAGTTAGTAGTAATCTGAAAGTTTAACCCTGCATTTTCGTGGATATATTGGGGAAGTAAGTTAGGGTGTGGGGCTCTGGTGTAGGGTTTATAGGGCCTTAGGGTTTTTAGGGTTCGGGGATTTAGGGCTTCGGGGTTTAGGGCTTTGGGGCTGGAGGCAAACCAATGGCATCAAGAAGCTGGAGCTCAGATAGCCAATTTGAGAAAACCTAGTCATGGGATGACATACAATAAAGCCCTAAACCCTAAACCCTAAGCCCTAAGCCCTAAACCCTAAACCCTAAAGCCTTGCTCCAGTGAAGGAGGCTCCCGGCATGATGCATGGATGTCCAGCTTTCAGCCCTAAACCCGAAATCCTAAAACCGTTTTGTTGTCAAGGAGCTGTCCTTCGTCCCTTAGTGCTTAATCCTTCGCTGATCATCAAAGTGCACTTTCAGAGCTTTTTTGTGGGGGCTGTTGTGCAGGGCGGGCAGTTCTCATTCTTACTTTTACTACAATTGCTACGTCTTCTGTTATTATCATCATTGCTCTGATCATCATTACTGTTACTATGACCGTTATGGCTACTTCTGATTGAACTCGTGATACTACTGTCCTAAAGGGTCCTATTTACCTATGTAGTAGAACGTAGGGTTTCTATGTTAGGAATCCCTATCATGATTTCAAAGAATATCCCCCGCAACAGTCCTAAACCCTAAGCCTTATACCCTAAAATACCCTAAGCCCTAAACCCTAAACCCTATACCCTCTAGGTTCCCCAGTAGTACCCTTTTGCCCTTTTTATTTGGGGGTCTCTTTATTAAAGCCCAATATTCGGAAAAAGGGTACCCTTATTATTTAGGGGTTACTGGGGAACCTAGCCCTAAACCGTAAACTCTGCCTCAGGGCCAGGTTGTGATCGGAGAGGCACTGCAGGCCCAATCTCTGCCGCAGCCGCCCCTCCAAAAAGGGTTCAGGGCGTAGCGCATATAGCGCAAGCGCACGCATCGCTGTGCCACAGTTTTGCAGCCTAGCCCGTCTTTTAGCCACGGCCATGGATGCAGGGCAAGGACCGGACTCAGACGACTACTTCAAAGCGAATCTTAGTAGCTGAGTGAGTACACTTTACACTTTGTTGGGATAGCATTATAGTTAAAGGAAACTACAGCTGGGGAGTTTAGGGCATATAGGGCTTCTATAAGGCTTCTATAACCTTCTACAAGGCTCCTATAACGGTAACTATCCAACTGAAAATGATAGAACTGCAAGCTTACACTGTTTTGGGCTTATGAACTCAGCAACTAAGTGTATTAAAAGTAGCCCTTATAGCACCCTTTAAAGGAACCCTTTAAGGAACCCCCATTTTGGGCCTATGAACTCAGCAACGAAGGACCGGTCGGAACGCAAGCTGTGACGTGGAGACTCGCGTCCAGAAGCTGAACTTTCTCTCAACGAGCCGCTCTCCAAGTGCCTATGCAGGCCTTTGGAACATTTTACGTGTTCCCCTTCTTGGGGTTTAGGGTTTAGGGGTGTAGGCCTTTGGAACAGTTTATACATGTCCCCTTATTGGGCCTTAAGAGGATCTTATTTACGCCCTACCTTTAACCGGAGGGACCTACCTTTTGAGGCTTCCTGATTATGGTTTCTATATGTAGTTTCTGAAAAATGTAGGTCTTTTCGGTTACAGGTAAAACCTAAACCCTAAACCCTTATTGGGGCCTACGAGGATCTTCTTTACGAACCTAAACCCTAAACCCTAAACCGTGGGGCCATCCTAGGTGCTCAGAAAGACCAGCAAGACGGACGCGAGCCCCAAGCTGCGAAGGCCAAGAAGGACAAGAAGAGCAAGCCGGAGCAAGATGCTGGGTTCTTGTTAATTGTTCAGGGTTTTTTCAGGGTTTACGGTCTAGGGTCTAGGGTTTAGGGTTTAGGGTTTTAAGGTTTTAGGGTTTTTAAAGTCTTAAGGGGTTTTAGGGTTTTTGGAGTTTAGGGGTTTTTAGGGTTTAGGGAAGATGCTGGGTTCTTGTTTTAGTTCCCCAATACCCAACTTTTAAGCTTTTTCGGTTCTTATAAGTTAGTAGTAATCTGAAAGTTTAACCTTCTATTTCCTTGGCTTTTTGGGGAAGTAAGTTGGTAAGGGGTCTAATTTAAGTAACCACAACAAGGAAACCCTATTATTTACTATAGATTCCTATTCTGGTAACTTAAGGTAAATCCCTTAACTCGAAACCCCTAAACCCCCAAACCCCTAAACCCCAAACCCCTAAACACTAAACCCCTAAGCCCCGAAACCCTAAACCCCCAACAAGAACCCACTCTTAGGACGAGGAGGCCCACGTCTTGGGCGCTTGGCTTCAGGACGAGCACGTCCTGGAACTCTTGAAGATTCACGCAGGTGGCAAGAAGAAGCTTAGGCCCCCAATACCCAACCTTTAAGCTTTTGTGTTTTGGGTTCTTATAATTTATAGTAATCTGAAAGTTTGACCTTTTATTTTTCCTATCTTATTTTGGGAAATAAGGAAGAAGGACAACACCGGCAGCATCTACACCACGAGCCAGTCTGAGGTAGCCCAGACGGAAGCAAAGGGCCTAAACCCTAAAACCCTAAACCCTAAACCCCTAAACCCTATAGGCCCTAAACCCCTAAACCCTATAGACCCTAAACCCTAAAACCCTAAACCTTCTAAATCCTAGGGCACCTACAAGACGGCCGGAGCAGAGTCAGAACCGAAGCAGCATGCTGGCTTGCAAACACCTGCAGCGGCTACTCCGACTGCTTCTGCAGAAGCTGGGTTTAGGGTTTAGGCTTTAGGGTTCTGGGTTTACAGTTTAGGCTTTAGGGTTTAGGGTTTAGGAAGTTAGTGAGTAAAGCTACCAGAATACGGATCTATAGTAATATATACTTACTGTGGTTACTTTACTATGGTCATTTGCAATATATTTAATCCCGTTACCAAAAACCCCAGGAAGATGAGACGAGCTCGAGTACGAAAAAGCGGCGGACACTTATCTCTCTCTGAGCGGAGCTCGAGGAGTACTTGGAGGTTCATGGGTAGTTATAAGTAGGATTACAAGTCCCCTAAATGGGTTATAACTATAGTTACCCTACTTATAACCCCAATTATAACTACCCATGAACCACCAAGTAAAAAGCGGCGGACGCTTATCTCTCTCTGAGTCGGAGCTTATTTTGGAGTGTGCTCGGGGAACCCAAGACACCTTAACTAAGGAAGCTACCTTAAATTATAGGCGCATTATTATGATTTCCCTAAACCCTAAACCCTAAAACCCTAAACCCTAAGGGATATTCCTTAATTAGGGGGGGGGGTATTGGGTTCTCTGGGTGCTCAGTTCTCAGGAGAGGTCTTTTTTAACCTAGCGTTTCCGGCCTGCTTTCATAGCATCCCTATAGCGAAGGAAGCCTGGGGAAACGACATGGGTTAGGGTTTAGGGTTTAGGGTTTTAGGGTTTTAGGGTTTAGGGTTTAGGGTTTAAGGGTTTAGGCTTAGTTATGTAGGCTTCCATCGTAGTTATAGGCTCCACTGCAATTCCTTTTTGTGGTTTATATATAGAATCAAATCCTACAAGGTACTCCCAAAAAGGAACTACCAGGGAGCTATATATTACATAAAATATATAGAATCATATCCTACGAAGTACTCCCAAAAAGGAACTGGGGAGCCTATGGGTAGTTCTAGGGCTTAGGGTTTTGAAGAGTCTGCCGCGCCGTAGGAGCCGGCAACTTGTAACTTTCTGCTGCCACATGCCCGGGTGTGGCGTTCATCGCGACAAAGTCGCACACTTTAGCTTGGCATTGAGGGGCGAAGGGTTGTGCCAGAAGCCGTCTTAGTCCAAACTGGTGGAAGGTGCACTCTTTCTATCCCCCTTCTGCCTTCTGCAGCAAAGCGACTGGGTTAATTTTTCCCAGCGTTTGCAGCTTTCCGTGTCTAAAGAGTCTACACTGGAGTAGAACTTCCGCGAAAAAGTCGCAACTCAGATTGGCATGTACTGGCGCAGAGATGTGCCGCAGGCCGGCATGTTTGGGCATAATTCTTCCTATGATCATGATGATGAGTACTATATTATTCTTCATATGATCATTCTTGTTAGCGTTATTGCCACTGTTATTGATAGGTTTAGGTTTTGGGGTTTGGGTTTTAGGTTTTGGGTTTGCCTCGACGCCTCATGCATTGTCTTTCGGGACGGGAAGCCACCCGACTTCGAAATACAGAGCCCCCGCCACCAGCAACAACAGGCTTTAGGACCGCTCCGAGCTTGGTTGGCTTTAGGGTTTAGGGTTTCGGGAATATTGTGTTCATCTTGAACCCGTCCAGAACTCAACCCTGAACCCCTAAACCCCTAAATACTAACACCCCAAACCCAAGCCCTAAACTCTAAACTCTAAGCCCTAACCCCCAAACCCCTAAACCCCTAAACCCCACAACCAAACCCCTAAAGCCCTAACCGCAGGTTCGGGACGTGGCGGATGGACGCCTCTGCCGCCCCGAGCCTGCGCATCGCATGGACAGCGACGTCCTGCCAGAGCCTGGGCTCTTGTTTAGTAGGGGCCCCAAAATGACCTAAGCATAAGCATTTTATAGTAGGGATATCCCTGCCCTATTGGGCTTCATTATAAGGGGGCTTATATGGGATATCCCTGTCCTAATTTTTGTTTAGGGCTTAGGGGTCTAGGGGTTTAGGGGTTTGCGGTTTAGGGGTTTAGGGTTTCGAGTTCAGGG